ATGATCGGACTCCGTGCTAAAAACACAATGGTATGTCGGTGCTAATGATCTACCAACCAAAAATAATATTATTTTCATATTTTGAAAATTGTTATGTTTGAACTTGGCATTTTGATAACATTGATTGTTGCTTGCTGCTTCCATGGTTTTTCCTTTCTTATATTGGCATTCTATTTCGAAAGGGGACATTTAGCTTTACATACTGGTACTATTCCATATGTACTAACGTCCCTTTTGTTGGGGGTGCTGCATCTTTAATGCATGCAGGTGGTTTGTTAGCAGGTAACTTAGACCCTCGTTACCAGTTACTCTCTATTCAGCAGGTTTTGGTGAGCCCTACTCTGTTCCGGGCCTTATGTCGCTTGACATTGTACTTTGTGTTTTGAGGTATATCCCGGGCCTTATCGCCGGCACTTTCATACTACTCTTCTATTGTACTTAGAGGCTCCGTAGACATATTGTGTGTGGTGTTTGATATTGGGTAATGAACTAGAAGTGTTGGTATTTGGCAAACATGCTTTCTCTCTATGAACTTGTAATATTTTGGAAATTGTAAATGAAGCTACTTTAAGTAATGGAAAAAAGAATGTGGAACACTTTACTCTTTTTATGTCTATCTCTTGTTACTGATTCTTATATTGTGATATCATTGTTCATGAGTAAGGTTGGGTAGAAGGCATCAAGTAGGCTTGCTTGACCGGGGTATCTCGGTTGAGCGCCATTGCTCTCCCCGAGGTTGGGGTGGGATCTCTGGAAAATCTATCATAGTTGTTGGGATATTATCAAGGATAATTTATTGTTAATGGTTATTAGTTTTTTGCAGGTACTCAAATTCCAAGATCAATCACTCGTACTAACTTCGTCTTACGTCTTAATTCCTAGTGGAATGTCCTCAAACTTTCACTGAATTAAGACCAATTAGTTTGAGTAATTTCTCAGTAAAATTTATCTCCAGACTGATGATCCAAAGACTTAGTCATTTTATGCACAAATTGGAGTCTCCTAATCAAACATGCTTCATCAAAGGAAGATCAATCACTAAGAATATTATGTTGACTCAAGACATGGTCAATAATATCACAAGACCATCTCCACATGGAAATGTAGTTATTAAACTAGACATGACCAAATCCTATGATAGAGTATCATCTATCATGGAAATATTTGTGTGAAATTCTCAAACATTTTGGATTTTTCGAAAAATGGATTAACGTGTTTGCAGGCTCATCAACAATATCTGTTACTCAGTTAAAATTAATGGAGTCATACATGGATTTTTCAACTCCAGCGGAAGCATAAAACAGGGAGATCCCCTCTCTCCTTTATTTGTCATAGGAGCTGAACTTTTCACAAAAATGATGGATTCTATGATACATACTAACTTTGTCCCTTTCACAGCTGATACTAATGGCCCTAACATATCTCATTTATGTTATGCAGATGATACTATTCTGTTCTCCTCATGTGATGCTCAGTCAATCAGACTCCCGATGGATAAGCTTGGAAAGTATAAAAAATCTTTGGACAACTGATTAATAAGAGCAAGTCAAGATTTTATGTTCCCTTTAGAGATGATGATCCTAGGATATCCTCGATCAATATCACTAGCTTTAACCAGTCTCAATTTCCTATGCAATATCTAGGATGCCAAATTTATTCTGGGACGAAAAAAATTATTTATTTCAATTATATGGTGGCTAAGAGACTACAAGGATGGCAAGGAAGGTTGTTGTCCTATGGTGGAAAAGCGATATTGATTAAATATGTCCTTCATGCTTTACCTATCCACCTACTATCGGTTGTTCATCCTACAAATACTACTCTAGAATAGATAAAAAAGATAATTGGTGATTTCTTCTAGGGTATGGATGGGGATAGAACGAAGAAACATTGGTGTGCTTGGTTTGATCTGTGCTTACCAACTAATGAGGGTGGTTCTGGTTCCAGGTCCTTAAATGACATTAGTAATACTTTATCTGCTAAATTATGGTGGAAGTTTAGAACTCATAACTCTTTGCTCAAATTCTTCCTGGAGCCAAATACTACAAGAGGTACCATCCAGTTGCAAAGAAGTGGTCCTTTGGCCAATCTTATATATGAAAAAGGTTGATGGACAACAAACACATTGTCGAGCCTTGTATTCTATGGAATATTGGCAAAGGAAATGTCTCCTTTTGGTGAGATAGCTAGACGGGTCTTGGCCCTATTGCTAACCTTGTGCAGAACTAAAGAACTCCTAAGAAAACCTTGCTAAAGGACTTCTACATAAGTAATAATTGAAAGCAGTATAAACTCAGAAGAATCCTCCCTCAGAAAGTGGTCAATTACATTTTGAATATTGACTTCTCCCCGAAGAAGAGAGACCAACCTATTTGGACCCCTAAGGCATCAGGAAAATTCAGTACCATCTAGTAAGAAAGAAGAACATCAGTACTTTATCTTACTCTAAGAATTAGCACAGAAAAGTTCCTTTTAGGATCTCTTTCTTTATGATGAGGGCTCTTCAGAACAAAATCCCCATTGATGATGCTGTTAGGTGTTGTCCTGATTTTTTTACCATATTTGGTTTCCATATCTCTTGAAGGAAAGGACACCATTTTTGTCATAATTGAGTTTTCCTTTTTGTAGAAGGAAATTATAATTCTCTTATATTTAGCTAGTCCCTTTTTCTGGTAGGAAAAGGTTTGGACTTCTATAAATTGGGGATCCTTCCTTCTCATTCAGCAGCATCCACAATATAGCCACATGGGGTTTGAGAGTCGTGTTTAGGGGGAGAACTTTACGGGACAAGTGTTAGTGTGTCACTTGTGTTTGCCTCTTCGTGAGGTTGTTCTCTCGATGTTTTGTACTCTCTTTTTATATAGTGGATTGCTTATCTCCGCTGTGGACGTAGGTCAGTTGACCGAACCACGTTAAATGTTTGTGTCTTTTTCGTATATTTCTCTTTTGTTGTCTGATTTATCGTCGTTGAAAGTTTTCTTTACTAGCTTCCGCATGACACTTGACTTTTTTCGATCACAATAGATGTAGTTAAGAGATTTGGGATCTATCTTCCATCTGTTTGTAGCTGTTGGCTTTTCCAAGCTCGAACAAGATCAAAAGAACTGATCGGTCACAAGATTGAAACCACTTAACATCTTCTGATTGAAGGGTAGATTCCTTCATAGGTTTGGAACTTCTTTTGTAATACTTCTGGTATAAAATATGTTCATGGTCATCTTAGGATGTCTACTATGAATTGGTAAACTGCTAAAGGAAAAAAAATGAAATTCACACTTACATGTTACAGTATCTACCAATTGCTATTTGTTGGGAAATTTGGAAAAACAGATGCAATGCTAGGTTTGATGATAAAATGATGTCATCCTCGTATATCATTAATCAAGTCAACAATATCATCTCTTTGATCCTCAAAGTTTAATATTTCCTGACTTACAGATGCAAGGCTAGCAAAGTGCGATCTGATTGAGAAGTTAAAACTAGTTACTCAAGCTCAAACCGTTTGGTACTTTAGACCTGTCCAAAATTTGTTTAAACTAAATTTTGATGGGTGCAGTAAAAGTAATCCTAGATCCTCTGGTGGAGGTGGAATTATTAGAGATCATATTGGATCTATCATTCAAACCTTTGCAGAATACGATGGGCAGTGTAGTAACAACACTGCTAAAGCAAATGTTATGCTGAAAGGAATGAAAATTTGTTTAAGTGCTGGCCTATCTAATATAGTGGTAGAATCTGACTCTCTTTTGCTCATAAATATCATCATTGAAAAGCTTGATCCACCATGGAAAATCAAGCAAATCATTGGGCAGATTATTAGTATATCTAATGCTGGAAAATTTACGTTCGTGCATATCTTTAGAGAAGGTAATTGTACTGGTGACTTACTGGCCAATATGAGAGAAGAATCCAAAACTTTTCCTGCAATGAAGCTACTTTCCTGCCTCCTAAGGTTAGAGCTTCAATGAAGCTTGAATTTGATGGGTTCCCAAATTTTAGATACAGGAAGATGAAGAACACATTCATTTCTGATGTTAGCTGATCTTTTTGATCTTGTTTTGCTGGTTCCTATTATGTATGTAGTCTACTGTTGCCTTGATGTGTTTATTCCATCGGCAGTAGTGATACTCAACAGCTAACATATCATTTTTATGTACAAATGACTACTAAGGTGGATATATCCAACCTTCACAATATTTACGAGGCTAAGGTCTATGTCCTCCTCCATGTAATTATTATTTTTTGTAAATATACATGTTAGGAGTCTTGCCTAAACTCCTCCATCATGTGGATGGGCCTATGTTAAAAAAAAATAACTAGAGAAAAGAAGAGAGGGAAAGGGAAGAATTTTCTCTTCCTTTCTTTTGGTTTGTGTCAATTTATACAGATTCTATGTAAAACTCCAGTAACTGAAACATGCAATGAAATGAATGTACAATGGAGGAAAGTTCTAGAGAGAAGGAAGAAGATTTTCTTTTCTTTTGCCGCTAACATATGAGTGCACTGTTCTTATATAGAACAGTGTTAACTATCTCTTAACCGACTAATTTGTTACCCTCTAACTTTCTCTAATTACAATTGACCCTTATTTTTTACCCTATATCACAACACTCCCCCTCAATCTGGAGGGTGGAATACATTGAGCACTCCTAGCTTGTCTAAGAGTAACTTGTGTTGGGCTGCTCCAAGTCCTTTTGTCATTAGATCTGCCATCTGTTTCTTTGTGGGAATATAGTTAGTTGTGACCATTCCTTCCTTGATTTTTTTCCTTACAAAATGACAGTCGATTTCTATGTGTTTTGTTCTTTCGTGAAAAATTAGGTTTGCTGTAATTTGTAATGCTGCCTTACTGTCACAATGTAGATGTATAGGTTCCTTCACTTTGTTTCCCAATTCTTCCAACAGACCCTTCATCCACTGAGCTCAACTACAGCTGCTGCCATGCTTCTGTACTCCGTTTCTGCAGAGCTTCTACTAATAGTTTGCTGCTTCTTGGATTTTCAGGACAGTAGAGAATCACCCAGTTTCACCACATAGCCTGTCACTGACCTCCTATTGTTTGGGCAAGCTGCCCAATCTGAGTCACAGTATGCTGTGAGCTTATCAGTGGCTCCACCCTTTAGTAGAATTTCCAGACCTGGATTCCCTTTAACATATTTGACAACCCTTAGAGCTGCTTCCATATGTGACTCTTTAGGATGTTGCATGAACTGGCTCAACACTTGGACTGCAAAGGATATGTCTGGCCTTGTGATTGTTAAGTACAATAGCTTGCCAATTAACTTTTGATAGCTGCATGCTTCCTGCAACTCTGCATCATTGACATTGCCAGTATGCTTGTCATACTCAACTGTGGTAAGCTTGTGGTTTTGTTCCATTGGTGTGGATACTGGCTTGCAAGCACTTAGTCCAACTTATGAGATCAGTTGCAAGGCATATTTTCTCTGATTGAGTAAAATGCCTTTGTTGGATCTTATCACTTCAATTCCCAGAAAATATCTAAGTTCCCCTAGGTCTTCCATCTTAAAGTTGCTGTGTAGAGTCTCATTTGCCTTCTGAATCAAACTACTATTACTTCCTGATATTAGAAGATCATCCACATATACCAATACAATGACAATATCTGCCTTATCCCTTTTGGTGAATAATGAATGATCATAAGAGTTTTGAGTGAAACCAGCTTGTAATAGTTCATGTGTTAACTTGATGTTCCACTGCCTCGATGCTTGCTTTAGGCCATATAGGGATTTAAGCAATCGACATACTTTAGACTCCCCCTGACTGTGAAATCCTTGAGGTAGCTGCATGTAGACTTCCTCACATAAGTCCCCTTGTAGGAATGCATTTTTGACATCCATTTGAAAAAGGTTCCAGCCTTTACATGCTGCAACAGCAATGACAGTTCTGACAGTCACCATCTTAGCAACAGGAGAAAAAGTTTCATGATAATCTAAGCCTTCCTGTTGTGTGTAGCCTTTGGCTACCAATCGAGCTTTAAACCTTTCAACCTCACCATTGGCTTTATACTTGATTTTGTACACCCATTTGGATCCAATAGCCTGTTTATTAGGTGGAAGATTTACAATCTCCCATGTGTGATTGTCTTCTAAAGCATTGATTTCCTGTTGCATAACAAGTACCCAGTCTGGATCTGCTGCTGCTTCTGTGTATGATGTAGGCTCCACTGAAGCAGAAAAAGCTTGAAGATATGTCTGATATGCAGTTGAAAGTTGAGTGTAAGATAGATGATTGGACATGGGACATATATGTTTGCCCGGTAGTTTGGTAGTGACATAGTCCTTGAACCAGAGTGGTTGCTTGATTTGTCTGTGAGGTCTGGTGTTTTCAACAATTGGAACTGGTGAAGGTATGGCAGTAGGGGAAGGTGAGTTGATCAACATGTCATTTGGGGAGCTGGTTCCTCCACTTGGGAAAGAGCATTTTGGCCTTCATTAATAGCAACAGTTTCAGAAGCATCTGATGTTATTTCAGGATCTGTCAGAATGGGTGTAAAGGTGGCTTCCTCATCTTGTAAGGTAGATGGTGTATATTGGGGAGGTGGATTGAGATCAAAAATAGGTTCAACAGATTTTGAAAACAATGCTTCTTCATCATGGTTGTTAGAATTCTGCTTGAAGGGGAAAACATACTCCTGAAATTTGACATCCCTGCTAACAAAGATTACATGAGTATCAAGATCATATAGTCTAAAACCTTTTTGTGTCTCAGAATATCCAATAAAAACTGCTCTCCTTGCTCTGGGAGCAAATTTATCTCCTTTAGGAAGATTACAAGCAAAACTTTGACATCCAAACACTCTCAAATATCTAAGATAGCTGACTTCCCATAGAGCATTGCATATGGTGTCCTGCCTTGCAGCACTAGTGTTGGGAGTCTATTGATTAAGTATACAGTAGTCATAACACATTCAACCCAGAATTTCAAAGGTATTCCACTGTGAAACTTCAGTTCCCTAGCAACATCTAGAATATGCTTATGTTTTCTCTCAACTATGCCATTTTGTTGAGGAGTACATGGGCAACTACTTTCATGTATGATCCCATTTTCAGCCAGCAATTCATTACACTTGGCATTAAAAAATTCTGTGCCATTATCTGATCTCAGGGTCTTGATTCCAGTGTCAAACTGTGTCTTTATTATTGCAATAAAATTATTCAATACAACACACACTTCACACTTAGATTGTATCAAGCATACCCATGTGTATCTAGTAAAATCATCAACCATAGTCACAAAGTAATACTTTCTACTTGTAAGGAGCCCACACATCTAGATGGACCAGCTGAAAAACTACTTTAGACTTGCTTACACTAGGAAACTGCAATCTACTCTATTTAGCTAGAGGACAAATGCTACAATTTCTTGATTTCCCTGAACATATCTTGTCTTGTAGAGATGATATATGTTGTATGGAATTCCAGGATGCATGTCCTAGTCTGTAGTGCCAAAGTTGTATTTGCTCTTCTTTTATTACTGCTCCTACTGTTATGCCTGCTGCTTGTGCATATTCCTTTAGTATGTATAGACCAGCAGACTCTCTAGCAATCCCCAATACCTTGCCACTGTAGAGTCCTTACAACACACAAAAATCAAGGAAGAACTTCACAGTGCAAGTGAGGTCTGTAGTGAGTTTTGCTACTAACAGCAAATTAAACTTGAAATCTGGCACATGCAGTATACCTTTTATACATTTGCCTCCTAAAATAGTAGCCTTTCCAATATACATTATCTCTGCCTTATTTCCTGTTGGAAATTGAACTCTCTGTCCTCCAAATTGTTTTATAGCACTCATTATATTCTTATCATGAGCAATATGATGAGTTGCCCCAGAGTCTACTATCCAACTAGTTAAAGGAATATTGGATACTAAAGTCATAATACCTGCCATGTTTGTGGAGCATTCTTCACCTCCTTGTTTGTTCAGAAGCCCTATAAGTTGCTGATATTGTTCTTCAGTGAGGAAATGGCCTTGTGGCTGAGTGCTTATCCCTCCTGGTTCTTCAGTTCTTGTAGCATTGGCAAAAAATCTGTTTCCTCCTGGCTGAGGTTTCTTTTTGCTTTTAAAATCAGCTGGATAGCCAACAATTTTGTAACAGTTCTCCTTCAAATGTCCCTTGTAGCCACAATATTCACAAATCAGCCCAAACTTCTTAGGCTTAAAAACCTGTCCTTTTCTTGCAAGCATAGTCAATGGATCTCTATTTGTGTCAACTACACCTAGTGTTCGTTGACTCTCCTCCTGTGTCACTATACCATAGGCTTCATTTACAGTCACAACTGGTCTTTTGAGAAGAACATTGCTTCTTACATTGCTATAACTCTCATTTAGGACCATGAAAAATGTCAAAAGTCTCTGATTTCTCAGATGTTCTACTGAAGGCCTCGATTCTTCACAATCACATGAAGGCAGAGGTACCAATACATCTAATTCACTCCATAGATCTGACATCTTTGTATAGTAAGTAATCATAGAATCAGTGCCTTGTTTAAGACTAGCAACCTCTGACCAGAGGTGATATATTCTAGTCAAACTACATCTATCAAATTTCTCCTTAAAATCACTCCATACTTTCCTAGCACTAGGTGCAAAAACTATGCTCGACATCAATTCGTTAGAGACTGTGCTTCCAGTCCATGACAGTACAATCGCATCATATTTTTCCCATTGTGCTGCTAATTTTCCTCTATACGAACTTTTAACACACGTTCCATCTACAAATCCAAGCTTGCCCTTCCCCATAAGTGCTAGTTTCATTGCCCTACTCCAGAGGGCATAATTTTCTGGCCCTGTGAGTTTAATTGGAACTAAAACTAGACCTGGTGCATCTGCTACTTGAAGAAATAGAGGATGATTATGTTCGAGTGAGGTTACCTCGTTTCCTGCCATGGCGATCTGAAATTCTGCTTCGTCTCCGGTGAATTTCTCCAAACTTTAGCTGACTCGACGGAACTTCTCGTCGGAGCTAACGTCCTCAGTCTCGCTGCTCTGATACCATGTCAATTTACAAGATTCTATGTATAACTCCAGTAATTGAACATGCAATGAAATGAATGTACAATGGAGGAAAGTTCTAGAGAGAAGGAAGAAGATGATTTTCTTTTCTGTTGCCGCTAACATATGAGTACACTGTTCTTACATAGAAAAGTGTTAACTACCTCTTAACCTACTAATTTGTTATCCTCTAACTTTCTCTAATTACAAATTAACCCTTACAATTTACCCTATATCACAACAATTTACAAATGAAAGAGGAAGGATAATTGGAACGGGAAACAATTCTCTTCTTAAGCACAGTATCTCAATGCGTGTTTGACATGAGTGGTTGTGACACCTACACACATCTTAAATTTTTTTTTCTTTTAAATATACAACAATGAACTTTTATATCAAGAAAGAAAGTTCAACAAGTGATATCCTTGAGATACAACAGGAAGCTGAGATTAAATAAGTTCTAAAAAGAGATAAAGTAAAAATATTTTTAAGATATTATTGAAATGAGAGGGATGGAGTATAAAATTGTCCTTTTTGCTTCGATTCTTGAGCTGCCAAGTGTACAACGCTCATAGTTGAAGGGTATATAGTGTAATTAATATGTTCTAAGACTAATAACTTCATCAAACTCACTTTACTTTTCAACAGTAACTATCTAGTCTAGTGCATGAATGCCAAGTGCGAATCTTACAAAGAAATCTTGTAACTATACTTCTCATTTACATGAATCTAAACAGATATCCCCGAAATCCCATTCAAAAATATCACAACAGATTAGCTATTATGAGGAACAAGCAAATCCACGTTTTACCACAGTAATCTCCTTAAAGTTACCTTCTTACCCCCTCATCTACCCCAAATTTCTCCCTTAAAACACGTGCTATTATGTCATTTTACATCTAACTCCTGTCCTTCTTCGCCGGAGTTTATAGTACAACAACACTTCCCTTTCTCTCTCTTCACTTCATTTTCTTCTTTCCAAAAAAAAAGTAAGTTGAAAAAAATAATCCAAATGGAACATCCATTTTTTATCAACGGCGCCGGAAACACGCCGAGAGCGGAGGCGTTACGGTGGCTATCAATAGCTGAGAAGCTATTAACTAACCGTGACTTAGTCGGGTCCAAATCATTCGCGACCCGAGCACGTGAATCCGACCCGTCCCTTTTACCCGCTGACCAAGTCCTCGCCATAGTCGATACCCTAATCGCCGGCGACAAACGGATCAACAACCAGCACCTTGATTACTACTCCATTCTCCAAATCCCTTTAAACCAAACACATGATTCTGAGCTCGTAGCTAATCAGTACCGTCGGCTCGCTCTCCTTTTAAACCCTCAGAAGAATAGTTTCCCTTTCTCAGATCATGCTTTCCGGCTCGTACTTGATGCTTGGTCTGTTCTTTCGAATGCGTTCAGGAGAAGTGTTTATGATAAAGAAATTGGGTTTTTTATTAACCTTAATCCTGTTGCTACTTCTCCTCCGCCTAATAATAACCCCATTGGTTTCATGCAACAACCAAGTTCTGTGCTTTTTCAACAGGCACAGTCACATCCAGTGAGTTCAAGCAGAGAGCAGCAGCGGACAGTGACATTTCTTCAAGACCCACAAATGCAGCAGCAGCAGCCAGTGAGTTCTGTGTCCAGCTTGAGTAGTAGAGAGCCGCAACAGACTGTAACATTTCTGGGCAGAAACCAAACACAGCAGCCAGTAGTAAGCTCTACTATGCTCAGTCCAGACAGAGAACAACAAAACCCTTTTACCTTTGGGTCAAGAGGGCAACAGCAGCAAGTAGCTTCTGTGGAGTCAAGAAGAGGGCAACAGCAGCAAGCAGCTTCTGTAGAGTCAAGAAGAGGGCAACCGCAGCAAGTAGCTTCTGTAGAGTCAAGAAGAGGGCAGCAGCAGCAAGTAGCTTCTGTAGAACAGCAGCAAGGTAATAAACAAGCGCCGCAAAGAAATGAGGGTTTGGTGGGTAACAACCAAAATTACTCTGCTACTACTACAAGTAAAAATGTGAACTTTGAGGCTTTGTTTGGGAATAGTCAAAATAATTCTACTAGTACTAGTAATGTGAACAATGAGGGTTTGTTTGGGAACAATCAGAATCAGCCTGCTAGTAATAGTAACAATGTGAACAATGAGGGTTTGTTTGGGAACAATCAGAATCAGCCTGCTAGTAATAGTAACAATGTGAACAATGAGGGTTTGTTTGGGAATAATCAAAATCACTCTGCTAGTACTAGTAAAAATGTGAACTTTGAGGGTTTGTTTGGGAACAATCAAAATCATTCTGTTAGTACTAGTAACAACAATGTGAACACTGAGGGTTTGTTAGGGAACAATCAAAATCGTTCTGCTAGTACTAGTAACAACAATGTGAAGGGAAAAGAGGGGGGTGTAGGTGCTTCGAGTCATGTTGTTCCTAGTTTCTGGACTGCATGTCCTTATTGTTACGTGATGTATGAGTATCCTTTAGAGTATGTGGATTGTACTTTGAGGTGTCAAAAGTGCAAGAGGGCGTTTCAGGCTGTAAAGATTGCGTCGCCTCCGCCAATTATAGAGGGAAAAGAAGCTTATTTCTGTTGTTGGGGATTTTTGCCTTTAGGATTTTCCTTGGACACTTTTAAGAAATATAAAGGTAATATCTCGAGTTGGACTCCATTTGCACCTGTGTTTAATAAACATGGGGGTGTAAGAAAGCCCCCCGCTCCGAGGGTTTATATTGATGATGTTGTTGATGATGTGTTTTTGGAATTATCTGAGTCGAGTGAGGAGTCAGATGAGGATTGGAAGGGTGATAAGAAAAAGAAGAAGGCGAACAGTGGGAAGAAAAAGAGTAGAAGGACGAGGAGAAAAAAGGCCAAGATACAGCAATCTGATAAGGGAAAGAATGTTGTAGGGAATGCTGGTGACAATGTGCAAGATATTTCAGCAACTCAAGGGGGTGCAGAAAAGCCCAATGTTACGGCAGCTCAGTCGAGCAAGAGAAGCACTGCAAGTAACACAAGAAGGCAAGCTGGGAGGGTTACAAAAGACGTTGGAAAGTTGGATTTGAATGTGGAGTTCAGTAATGAGGTTGAAGAGCCTCCTGCACCTGGGGTGGGCCAAGGGAATGGAGATGGAACGGGAGAGGATGGCAACATTGAAGGCATTGAGTTTTTTGAAGGTCTTGATGAATTCCTAAGCAGTCTTCCTATACTCAATGCTGTGGGTGATGATAAGGTCAAGGCTGCCTAGCGAAGTAAGGCACTTCTTTTGTTCTAGTTGTAGCTTCCTTTTGTTTTTTGTATGTTCTAGTAAGAATGAAAAGCTACTTGGGCATTGGCCTTGATGTTTTCATTGTAATGTTAATGTATTGCTAGTTTGCGCTGAAGTAGCTGCAATAATACCTTATTGCTCCAATCTCCATGCTGCATCAGTAATCTTGGTTTTCTTTTCGTACAGCTAAATCATTTGTCTTCAACGTCCTACATTTCTATCTTTTAAGATATCAAATGGGTTCTCCAGAGGAGCCTTGTTTGCCTGCTTTTTTTTTTTCCGGTTTTGCGGCACAAGTTTAACTGTCTTGAAGTCTGTTAACTTGAAACCAAGTATTTATCTACTTATTTCAGGAAACTGATAGCTGTTAAGTTCCGTTGTTGCTTGTTTGGAGCTAAAAGTCCAGGATCTTAACCTTGCAAATATTTAGTGCACTACGATTCAGAGATTCTTATAGTTTTGATTTTTTTTCCCTTGTTAAAAATACGTTAACAAATTTAAATCGGTTAAGAGGATTATTGATTTTCAAATGCTAAGCTTCCATTTAAATAAAAGAACTCTTCTTTGCCGCATACACTTTTATAAGTTTTTGCCCCTTTTCTCTTCATACATGATTACTAGTCTTGATTTGAGATCTTTTAAAAGCTTTGTCAACAAAAAAGGTTAGGCAAAAATTGTCAATGGAGATAGATCTGGAAAACTAAGGCTCCATTCAAAGTGCAATATTTCTCTTGGTTGGCAGCAAATGAGGTTTTTTTGACACATGGCAATTTACAAAGAAGAGGGTTTCACATAACTAACAGGCGCTATCTGTGTGAGAAGGAAGAAATTCTCATACCTTCATGCGTTCTTCACTCACCTCCCAAGTGTCGCACATGTTCCTAAATATATATTCAAGGTAAGGACTAAAGAAGAAATTCTCATACCTTCATGCGTTCTTCACTCACCTCCCAAGTGTCGCACATGTTCCTAAATATATATTCAAGGTAAGGACTAAAATGGACTTGCTGACTAGCTGGAGTATAAGGGTTTGAGGAAGAAGAAGAAGAAGAAGAAGATATGGTCAATAGTACCTGCTAGTATCTGGTAGACTGTGTTGGAAAACTGTTTTGAAAACCGATAAGAGCCTATTAGCATAATTAAGGCTACTCTTTTATGTTTGTTATCTTGCTGGTGTATATAGACAATGCTGAAACCTGACAGCATGTGAGACTTTATCAGCTCCCTTCAGGATTTGTGGGGGACTGGCTCATAAAGCTTTTGTTTTATATATGTCAACACTCTCTTAATGCTGGTTTTAAGTTAATGTGATCTTTTAGTAGCTAGTTCATCTTATTGTTTTCGATCTCCACTGCATTTTAAACCATGTTCGAGATTGACTCGTGGTTTTGAAATTTGTTTCAAGTTCTTGATTTCATTCTTCTTTCCATCCAAACTTTAGTTCTTGAAGTGGGTAACATGAGGTCGAGCTGAATGATAGTCCCCAAACACCATTAGATAACTTCAACCTGAGTTACAAACACTTCGAATTAGCATTTCTTTGAAGAGAATGCACAGAGGGAAGGTAGTATTGTATTTTCCACATCCAGTTCACTCCTCTCTGCCGTGCTTTTATTTCTTAGAAACCAGAATAAAGGAAACTTCAGTCTAACTTGTCAGTTTAAAATGCCAGCAGTTGAGGATGGCTAAAGGAATCCTTTAAGTACTAATATTGCTTCCTGCTATTGCTGCAATTTTTGCTTATGCAGTAATAGTGTTCATGTATTCATCCAAAAAAAGAAAAAAAGGTGTTGATGTGTGTGAGAGGCGGTGTCTCCTTCTACTGAGCTGGGTCCAATCATATCCTTCTTCCTTCCCCTAACCATAAGTCATTGCTGCAGAGGTTATTGAAGCCACTGAATTGTTTTACAGCCATATCGAATGCAGAGGTGTAAGTTGTCTACTGTCTGACTGTTTGAATGTCTGTTCTTAGCAGTAGCCTTCTTGATTTGGGTTTTTTTCCCAAAACTCTGCATCTGCTTCATTACTTGTGAGCTAACAGTTACAGTACAGATTTTATTTCTTGCCTAGCTTGGTGTAACTCCTATGCAGAGATGGCGGGTTTCTTGGTACTAGGTAAAAGCTGATCAATTCAAGCTACAATCATCTAGCTACGGATGTGGCTCTGGCAATGAATCCTATTTCACTAAATGCTGCTTCATATACAGCGTAGGATTAGCCTTTTATGAATTCTGAATGACTTGGTATTATTCCTTGTTTATGTCAGGATGAATTATGCAGGATTCCCAGTAAAATTCTTCGTAGCTCGCGAGGAAATGATGATCTTGAACTTCTATAGATGTGTTTTTGAGCTTCTGTCATTTTCTGGTCTGGAAGGCATTCCTTGGTGTGATACCTTTTCATTGTATAATTGACGCTGTTGCTTGAGTAAGTTTATCAGGTACCCTTTTTGTTACTTTTTGACACTTGAAACTTTGTCTGTATGTGCTCATACTGGTGCAAGGTAATGTTGATGTCTTCCAACGTTTGAATGCCTTTCTTCTAAAGCTTTGAAATCTTTTAAAATGGTTGATTGTATTTCAGGAATTGATTTGGCCCCACGTTTTTTTGTATATGCTAGGGAACTTTGTGAATAGTTGTTGTCTATCGGGAATGTGTCTTTATGATGAGTGGCCACTGCTTGCCAGAATTTGTATTAGGTGCCAGTATTCATTTGCATCTGACATTATATTATGTCAGCTCTTGTGAGTTTCACCCTTTACCAACAACAACAACAACAAACCCAGTGTAATTCCTCAAGTGGGGTATAGTAGTGTGTATGCAGACCTTACCCCCCCTACCTTGTGAAGGTGTTTCCGTTAGACCCTCGGCTCAAGGCGTTTCACCCTTTACCAAAAAAAGAAAAATTGAATTGGTTAAATTTTGCTGATATATTCAACTTGAGGCCAATATATTCATGTTATTTTAGGTTTACTTCCTAGTGACAAGTGTCAGGTTTTTGTGATTGTTGAATATTGACTGGCTTTACAATTACCTAAAATTTCAAGGAGTGCAAATTGCTTTTGATCTGTAATGGAGGTGGCTAAGTCCTAAGGTGTGGTTTGGTAGTTCAAATGATCGGTCGGAATAGGCACATAAGAATTCTAGTTGGATATTGTGAAAGAATCTCCGCATTCAACCCAAAACCTTAATGCAATAGGTGGAGTATTCTAGGTCATCATAAACATCATTGTAAATCCTTGATGCAACCAATGAATGACAAGTGTATTTTAACACAATCCCGCATATGTAACTTAAAAGCCACTTTCGGCTAATAAGCCACTTTTTTAATCCAAACGGGCTCTTAAAGGTGGATTAAATATCTTTTTGGCTGCTTTTTATAAGCTTTTCTTCGAAGGCATGGCCGCCTAATTGTGTCATTTTACCCGTCTCGATGTCGAGGCTAATTTTTATATACAATGCAACTGTCCCTTGATCTGGATTTGAATATGCTATTATTTCAGCTATTGCCTTTTTTTCATTTCCTGGAAAAATGTATAGACTTTCGAAGTGTTTCATTTGAACTCAACCAGTTTAATGCGGAGTAAGAAAGAATAATTAATGCCAAGTTTACACTATTATGGTAAGTTTGTGATTTGTAAAACCAAGTTCCTTTTTCCCCTTTGCTTTAGATTTGTTAGGCTTGAAGTGTCTATAATACTTACAATTCTAATAGCTAGTAGGAAAAAAATAATAACAGGTAATATGTGACTAATGAGGTTAAGTATTCGATTTTCCCCAATACTTGTCATCCTTTCCTCATGTTGGATCCTCTAATGGTCATATTAACCGTTAAAAAATTACTCCTTTAGCTGGATAAAAAATCTGAAGCAATTTCTTTCTGTTTTGACATTTGTAATTTCTGTCAATGTCCTCCAGTGATAGAGCCATTAGGTTCATACCAAGATGAAAATTTGCCGTAAATGTGAGCCCAGGACATTTATTTCTCTTTTTAACGAAATGAAAACAGCTAAGCTGAGAGTTGTTATCAGGTTGCCAGCTTACTATATGTGTTTGTGACAGGTTCAGGCTATTAGTATGTTATTAGGTAATCCAATAAATTGACTTTTTGAGATACCAGGACCTGAAGCCAAGTGGATGGGAAGTTCAACTACTTAGGTCCTTACGTAACAAATAAAATCTTGAGACTACTGTTTTGCATGCATTTAAAACCTATATATAGCAATAGACTTGAAGCAAATAACACATATCCAAGTTTCATTGATTCTATACACATTCTTCTTTAAGCTTCTAGGATTTGCAGAAATATGGCTCACCATTACCAGCTATCCTCCCTCTTACTGCTTGCATTTCTCAACTTGTGCTTCATCCATGGCCCGATAACTGGAGCAACTGCACGTCGTCTTCTAGAGACGCCCCTCCCCGAGATTCCTAAACCAGAGTTCCCTAAAGTTCCAACCTTGCCAAAGCTTGAGATCCCAACTGTGCCGAAACCTGAGCTTCCAACCATACCAAAGCCTGAAATACCAGCTGTTCCAAAGCCTGAGATTCCTATTATGCCAAAACCTGAAGTACCAACTGTGCCAAAGCCCGAGCTACCATCTATCCCGAAGCCCGAGTTACCAACTTTACCAAAGCCTGAGATCCCAGTTGTGCCCAATCCTAAGTTACCAGTTGCTCCTAAGCCTGAGTTCCCAACTGTGCCAAAACCCGAGCTTCCTGTTGTGCCGAAGCCTGAGATTCCAGCAATGCCAAAACCCGAGCTTCTTCCCCTGAAAAAGCCAGAAATCCCAACAGCACCAAAGACTGAGGTTCCTCCAGCTATAAAAAAGCCTGAAGTTCCAGCTTTGACAAAGCCCGAGGTACCAATTGTGCCAAAGCCAGAAATCCCAGAACTACCAAAGCCAAAAATCCCGGAGCTACCAAAGCCAAAACTACCAGAACTTCCAAAGCCAGAAGTCCCAGCTATGCCAAAGCCAGAAATCCCAGAACTACCAAAGCCAAAAATCCCGGAGCTACCAAAGCCAAAACTACCAGAGCTTCCAAAGCTAGAAGTCCCAGCTATGCCAAAGCCTGAAATCCCAGAACTGCCTAAACCAAAAGAGATATCCATTCCTTCACTTTCTCCACCACACAAACCCGCTACTCCTTGAGTAATTATTATACTGTTCGCTCTATTAGAAGGTAGCCAACTGTGTTATGAGATTTCCATCTTGGTCTATGAAGTTTGCTGCGTGGGCATGGCATGGCATGGAGATAGTTTGGCAGAACATATTGGATACTTTCTCTAGGGGTAGAAATTATGATTCTTTTATAGTAGTATTTCAATTGGATGTACCATGTTTATCGTGTTATTATACTATATGAGTGTTTTATGTACTTTCTATACAGTGTAATAAGGCTATGATCTATGTCACTTTCTAGAGTCACTTTGATTTAGTTCCTGTCGTCGGCCATCCCTGATTTTGCTCATTCCTTTTTTTTTTTCCGACTCTTTTCCTCTTCCTTTTTCTTAAAACCTATTACCACTTTCGTCCATCACATTTCAAGAGATGGAAGGGATGAATAAGCATACTTAAGCACCGGTAGAATAATATGTTCTACAAATGCCTCACATTTTAGTGTATTTTAGAACAAAATTGAAGATTTTAACTATTTGTTGCTCTCTGTTTCATTCATCCTAATGCACATTGGATTGCTGTGTGGGCATGACATGGGGGTACTTGGTTCCTCTCAAGAGGGAGATTGTGCTTTTGGATCGATTGATAGTTTTGAACATATGAACTATCTAAAATTTCTCTCAACACTTGTATTGCATGACCATTTCATCTTAAACCTGCTTTAACACCATGTTGAATTATGTGATCATCAATTCCTACTTAAACTATTTCGTGTCCCCAAAATCTCTCTGAACTATATTGTCATTCATATTAAAAAAACCCTCATTGTGCATTTTTAGAGGTGCGTCTAGTACACGCTCATATCTATACGATATTAAAAGCACGAAGGCCCTTAGCGGAATGTCGTTCGTCTTTTTTACCCTTCGTTAGTACACTTTATAATGGATAAAATAGTAACTACAAATACATTACCGTTTTGGAAAAAATAATGCCGTAGCATAAAAAAATAATTAACAGAAGAAGTAAGATTCTCCTTCTTTAATTACTATCCTTAATACTACAAAGAGTGCACCGTCAAATTTTTTCGTTGGTTAAAAATAAAAAATAACAAGACAATAACTAGGAGACCCATTAATATCCTAATGAAAAAGTCAAATTTATTGTAGTTAAAAAAGGAAAAAAATATTTGAGATAAACTTTCTAAATCTTAGATTGTTCGGGTAGTTCTTTTTTATAATAAATGACTTCATGAATTTTGTAGTGNTCCGATCTTATCTATCTATATATATATATATATATACACTATATTAAAAGCACGAAGGCCCTTAGCGAAATGTCGTTCACCTTTTTTACCCTTTAAAAACTAATTTCACATTGCATAAAAAGATCGGA